CACACACACACAACGCGACTCCGACCCCTGTTCCGCTACGAGACGCGGAGTCCGCAGAAGACTTGATGCGGCGCCTCAGCCCCGCAAGGGTGTCCGACGACGAGGTGTGCCGTGTGGCCAGTCTGCTGGAGGACCCTGGAGTGCGGGCGGCATGGCAGCTTCGGCACCTCACCCCAGACCTCGCCAGGGACCTTCGCAAAGACTCGCTGACGCACGACGCAGACCACACGACATACATTTGAGTGCACGAGGTCCTGAAGAGGCTTCGGGCGGAAGCAGCGCCGAGCCAGCCGGTCGACATGCCTCCAGCCCAGCGTGTTCGGCCTTCAACGACGCCTCGGTCAAGGCCATAAGGCCGTGGCGAGGAGCGCGCGTGCTGCCGCAGGGCGGCGCGGCAGGCCCCCGTCCTCCTCAGGCACAGGGGACCGCAAAACGTCGTCCATCGATGTCTGCCAGGCGCTCACGGCGCACGGGCTGGAGAGCCTCCCATTGAAGAACTTTCCGAAGGCCGCCGCCCTGCATTCGTTGCTGCGGCAAGCCCGCCAGAAGGCGGATCACGGCCGCTTGCCGTGGGTTGCCGGCGAACTCGAGGACGAGTTCGAACCTCTCCGCCGCTCGGGCGTCGCGTTGGTGGAGCAAGGGTTTCACACAGCTTGTTCTTCAATCTGAGGTCGGGTCAGAGAGCTTGTCCTTCGAGCGCCTGCTCCGCAAGTTCCTGGACCTGTGCCACCTCGCCAACGAAGCCAACGTCGGCGCGACCTACGACCGCCGGGAGTGGCAGCAGCTGCCACCCGGATCGAGAACCGGGACTCGAGCGCCGACCCGAACAGGACCTTCGCCAGGGTGGACGCGCACACCAAGGCCGAGGTGCGCGACTGGGTGTCGAGACAGAAAGGGCCTGTACAGGGTTCCTCCCAGCGGGGGCGGCCCCCGCAGTGGGGGCGCCCCGCGGGCAACGGGCACCGCGACGGCAAGGCCGGCGCGCAGGACTAGCGATTGGCAGAGCGCCTTTCGGCCCGCGGCGACGAGGCCACCGCTTCCGCCGCGCCCGCCGCCCCCGGCAGCAGCTTCAAAGGGCGCCCGCAGGGGCGCCGCCTGAAGCAGCGACAGAGCACGAGCGTCGCAAGACGCATTGGTCGGCGGTGGACAAACCTCGTTTTATAAAACCACTCTTTAATGAAAACGACCCAAGACCGAAACCGATGGACCTGGACCCGCAATAGTGACAGCCGCGACGCCCTCTCGCGAACCGAAAACGGTCAATTCGCTAATCGACTTGTCAAGGTATGAGGTCTATCAAACTCCGAATTGGCCCCGCGGGGTAAGCCGTCTGCGGATGACGCCGGGGCGCCGCGCAGGGCGCGGAAGACGGCGGATAGCCAGCTGCTTCCCTCCGACGGGGCCGTTGCGCCGCGCCGACAGCCGAGGCCTCCGCCGATTGCTTCTCTCCTCCCCCCGCCCCCCCTCCTCCCCTGCCGTCCCTCTCCCTTCCCCCTTCGCCTTGCCCTTTCCTCTGGGGCGCACAAGGACATACTAGTACTAGACGTTATCCTTGGAGGCGCGCGTCCTACCCGAACCTATATTACCTATACGACCACCCTTCGGGTGATAAGGAGGTTCGGGGGGGGGAGGAACCAACGTCTCACTCGATCGGTCTCACTATCGATCTCACTATCGATCTCAGTATCGGTCTCGCTCGATCGATCTCCCTCGATCGATCTCACAATCGATCTCACAATCGATCTCACTCGATCTCACTCGATCACACTCGATCTCACTCGATCATCATCATCATCATCATCATCATCATCATCATCATCATCATCATCATCATCATCATCATCATCATCATCATCATCATCATCATCATCAGCATCATCATCATCATCATCAGCATCATCATCAGCATCACCATCATCATCATCATCATCATCATCAGCATCAACAGCACAGCATCATCAGCAGCATCATCATCAGCATCAGCATCACCATCATCATCATCATCATCATCATCATCATCATCATCATCATCATCATCATCATCATCATCATCATCATCATCATCATCATCATCATCATCATCATCATCATCATCATCATCATCATCATCATCATCATCATCATCATCATCATCATCATCATCATCGCGGGACACCGCGGGACACCGGCGGGACACCGCGGGGCACCGCGGGACACCGCGGGACACCGGCGGGACACCGCGGGCCACCGGCCGCCCGGAAGGGAGACATTTGGTCCGGCCGCGCCTCAGCCACACGGGACACCAGCGGGACACCGGCGGGACACCGCGGGCCACCGGCCGCCCGGAAGGGAGACATTTGGTCCGGCCGCGCCTCAGCCACAGGAGACTTTCTTCTTGCCCGCCCACGCAGCTTCGCCTCGCCCGCACGCACGGCACGCACGAACACGAAACCGAAATCGATTTCCCGGTAGGGGGGGTCTCCGTTCCACTTCGATCTCACCCCCTCACCTCCGACACCCATCTTGCAGCACATCGTTTCCCGAGCGGTGTGGCCAGAAAACGCCCGGCACGATGCATACACTATATGATTTCTCGGTGCGCGCGTCGCCCCTGGGGGGACGGTTTCGCGGCTCTGCCTGCCAACCCCCGGAGGAGCGCTTTTGAGCCGTCGGCCAGCGAGACGTCGCCGCAGGGCGATCCGCTCAGCCCAGAGTAGCACATATCACGTTCTCGCGCGTCGACATCGTGCTTGCACAAGCTTCCGCAAGCTTCCGCTTCTTTGCCAGGACGTCCGTCGAAACATATGTGCAATATCAATCAACGCTGCCGCGGTTGCGTCTCGCCAAGAACAAACGTTGAAATTCTGGCGTCGGCGGGCTGCTGTCTTGGACTTTTCCCGGCGGCGGTTCCGTGCCCGCGTGCCAGCGCCGTACAAACCAACCCTAGGAAGGCCCCACGTGCCACTGTTGGAGGACATGTTGATCGCCGCAAGGCGCGAAGATGCGCATTTCATCCGCGATTTGGGCCGAGGATCCCCAGTCTGGACCCTTGCGCGCAAGCGGGCCTGGCAGGCCAACAGGCCCGCCTATTCTGTCGGGAAGCTGGGAAGCTTTCCACGGCGTTCCAAATATTGAACTTCTGCGCGCCCAGTGCCGCGATGCAAGCGCTCGCGCGCTCGACTGGGCGGTGCGGGCCCACTCGCGGCCGAAGTGTGGGCTTGACATTCATCAAAGATGGATGCGGGCAAGGCCGGCCCTCCGCTCGCTCTTCAGGACATAAGCCTGAGTGCCGTGTCTGCAATTCGGGCTGGCGGACGAATGTTAGCGACCCTGACCCTCCTGCTTGCCCGAACCCTGCGGCTCGAGCCTAAAACTTGCGGCGACGAGGGACGCATGCAAAAGGCAAGCAAAGCAATGACTTGCGAATGCGTGCGACATGCAAGCAATGCAATCACATGAGAGCGCATGCGCGCGAAATGCGAGAAATGCAACAATCTGAGGATGCATGCGGGAGGTGAGCAAACCAATATACAGAGGCCCCCCCGTGTTCTGCCTTAGTTTTCCGGGGCGTACGAAGCAAGCATCGCCGTCTGCAGAAAAAGCAGACACGAGTCAGCAGCAGGAAGATGGGGAGGTGGAGCAGGAGTGAGGAGGAGAACAAGAAAAAAGGGCGACTTCAAATATAGTAGGTAATCGGGAGGTGAGCAATACAAATGCCAAGTACAAGCCCCACATAGGCACATAGCCACAGTCAAGTGGTGTCAAAATACCTACTGTCTGGGGGTGGTCGGGGGAGCAAAGTATGGAGGTCTGCGCTGGGCCCCCCTCCCCACGCTCGTCCAGGGGCGCTGCCGAAGGTGTAGCGAAAAAGGCACGGTCTTGAGTGCAGTGCACGTGCCAAGTATCCCAGCCCGCACATGCCCCCCCCCCCACCACCACCCAACACAGAAAGCCACCAAAAGTGCGGCTTCGGCCGCGGGCGCAGCATGCGAGAGAGGGGTCCGGCGCCCGCTCCGGACATCCCTGCACGCCTCTCCGAACTTTGACGTGCGGCCTCTTCGACTCAATGCCAGCTAGGAACCCCCTCCGAAAACCCTCCAACGCTCTGCTCTTGACGCTGGAGGTCTGGGGCGCGGTCGGGCTGGAATTCCAAAGCCGGTGCGGCCGTGGACGACGAAAACGCCCCACGAAACCGAACAACGAAGAAGCCTGGCGAAGAGCCCAACCATATGCAGTTGTGAAAACCGCAACTGTGAGCACCGTCTGAGGCGAAACTCCTTATGCGGCAACGCCCGCATGCGGCCTGTGTCGCTGGGGACGTTGGTGGAGCTCCATGTGGAGGAGGGAGGGAGGCAGCGGGAGCTTTGATGGGTGTGAAGTTATAAGTAGTTATAGTATAGGTAAGTGGTTCTATTTTAGGAGAGGCTTGGATGAGTTAGGATTGGTTAAGAGGCCCAATAGGTTCCATAGGAATGCCGATAGTGTAGTCCCCGATAATCCCCCCTGTGTTTCACTATAGGATCTATAGGAGCTTACAGTGTCCTATCATCAGCTGAACTTGGAATCCCTAAACACATGTATTCTTTCACTATGTTTTATTATGTTTCACTATTTTTCATTATTTTTGCGGAATGGCGGAGCCCCTGGATTCCTTTTCTTGGGCCAAACGGTTTCGGTAACCATAATCTCAGCTCGGCACCTGTGAAACCCTGCAGCCCTCCTCGAGGCCGCTGTGCACGCTGGCGGACTCGTCAGCCCACCATCTCAAATTACATCAGTAATTAACAGTGCTAGCCGAAACCCGTTCGGTTCCGACTCATGTAAAGAAACAGCCATGGCAAAGGAAGCCTTCATTCACGTGATATCGGCCTCTATATCGTTCTCTCTCTCTCTCTCTCTCTCTCTCTCTCTCGCGCGTCACGACCTCGGGAGGTGATCAATCTCCGTCGTATATCTTCTGAACAAGCCAGCATAGCTCAACCCAGACGGTATCTCGTACTGGTTGTCCAGGGTGCGTGCATTTACTGACACCAAGCTCCCCACTCTCGATTGCCCAACGGCGTATACCGACCGTCAGCCTCATAATGTAGCTTGTTTCTGCTCGTGTAGGTCACTGGCCCTTGGACTTCAACTGACCTCATCTTCTTGAACTGCACCTCTGCCTCGGGCGAAGCATCTCTCCTGCGTCGCCTCGACGGTGATCGTTCATCTGACTCTGACTTCGAGTCCTGGAGGTTACACCTCGGGTCCCCTTCGGCTCGCACAGGTCGAAATGGCGTGGACCACAACCCAGAGTCACCTTGTGTCTCTGAAGATTGACCCACAACCCTGTCCTGCTTCGCCTTCACCGCGAACACGTAGTAACTGAAAACCACTGCCACAATCGTAACCACCGAGTGTGTAACGAAACTCCACCAGTTAAACTCGCTCTTCATGTTCACATTGATTCTGAAACCATCCTCATAGTAGTAATCGTCTGTCGCCTCTGCTCCCGAAATGGTCGTCATTACCGCCAAAACCTTCGTGAGCACTTCTGGGTCCTTGAAACTCGTCGCCTTGATTGAGATCAACCCCAGCGTCCGCATGTGTCTCCTGAGCGTGTCCTTGTCCATCGGTTTCGTTCCTATATCTGCAACTTGGTCCTTCGTATTGACCTTCACCACCTCCATGTCTCCGTCTCGTGCCAGATCTTGATGCCAGATCCACCTAGTCTGTAGATGTCGTACTCGTCCGGCTCCGTGTCTGTGGATCATGCCATTCGCCGCTGCTGAGTCCGTCTCCAACTCCAGAGTGATCGTGACCTCCTCGTTCCACATCTGCGCCATCTCCTGCACCACGTGCTTGATGGTGAGACCTCGGGCTGTGCCCGAACCCATCGCGTAGAACTCCGACTCCCCACTTGAGAGCGCCACCGTCGCCTGAGATAGCACCCAGCTCTCCAGTAGATGGGCTCCTAGTCGAACCCCACCTGATGAAATACTCTTGCATGTCGCCTCCTGTCCTGCCCAGTCCGCGTCCACCGACGCCGTTACTTTGAACGTCTCCTGCTGATACGGGTAGAATATCACGATGTCGGCCGTGCCCTTCAAATACCTGACCAGACGTTTCTGCTTGAGTACGTGCTTCACTCGCGGGTCATTGCACGAACAACTCTGCTCCCGAACTGCTTCCTGAATATCCCAGCGACCCCCAGCCATATACTGTGCAATGCCACCGCAACTCCTGTACAGCATCGAGCTCTGTCGTCCTACTGGGTCTTCAGCTTCTCGAACTCCCTTGGCAGTGTGCTTCGAACTCGGTGTCTCTGCGGGCTTGGCCTGCTTCAGCTCGTACAACTCCACCATCTTCAAGATCAGCTTCGGGCCTGGTAGAATGCCGAAGCCCTCCTCGCCCCAAAGCACCGTTCTGTTGAGAAACGTACCTTCAGCTGCTCCTCCTGGTCCCACTCTCGGTTGAGGCTTGACCTTAAACCTACTGGCCATGAGCTTATCGAACTCATCCAGCTCCTCGTCGTAAGCCTCCACCACAAAATCATCTCCGTGTCCAGCACAGAGCGAGTCCTTGCCAGGATGGTAGTACAAGCAACACACCGTCTTCAACTCCTCGTACCCGTGCTGTCTGAAGTTATCCCGAACTTCTCCTTGAAATAACATCGACGCCTCTGGCGTCCCATACATCGCCTTCTGCAACTTCCAAAGCATCCCTGGTCGTCGCTGTTCAGGTGGCGGCCAGCAGTACTGGGGCTCCTTCAGCGACGCGCGAAAGAACGCCACTGAGATGTCATATAGACCAAGCTTCTTCCTCCTCGACTCAATCGTTCCCGTTGAAGCTGCTCTCGAAATCACCAGCTTAACGGCCCATAGTGCGGGTGTCCCTGCGAAATTCGAGGGGTCGGTCCCGTCGCTATACTTTCTGTGAACACATCGACTCCTCACGATCCACTCGTGGTTCTGTAAGTCGTACTTCTTGCTGTCGATCCACTCGGTGTCGAAAGGCTTCATCCAGTCCTCAAGTGGTACCCACTCAAAGACATCAAACACCTCCATGCTCTTCATTTCCTTCGCCCTGCCGTTGATGACCAGCTCCTTCAACAACTCCTCGCCTGTGTACGCGTCTCTGTAGACTCCGTCCGGTCCTCCTCCTTCGTGATCGACATGATGATGCCTATCTCCATCGCCTCTTCCCGTCCTGGCGTAGCAGGTGCCACATCTCCTCCTGCCACGATCGCGTTACCCGTCATCTCTGAGTCTTGCTCGATCTGTAGCTCCTGTCCGAAATGGTGACCAACCGGTGTACCTGGAGCTCGCTGACCTGCTTCCTCAAGTCGTGGTTCTGCTACTCTAGCATTTTCTGGTGGTGTCTGTGCTGCTGGAACTGCCGCTGGTGCTGCTGCAGGTTGCGCTTGTCCTGGTTGATCTCCTGATGCCATCTCGATCCTCGGCTCGGCCTCCTCGAAGATCTTGGCGAACCTCGTCCTGCACCTCGCGTTGTGTATTGCTGAGTTCCCTTCGCATGCGGCACACCCATCTGTAGGTCCGTACTCCTCGATCAGCGCCTTCGTGATGTATTTCCGTCTCCTGACCACCTCATTCTGATCCTTCACCTCTAAGCCCCTGGGATTCCAAGGCACTCCTATGAACGTGTTGTAGACCTCCTTGTTGTACTTGTCCTCCGTGGCCCTGAGCTTCATCGTTCTGGCGTGCTCGATCCCTCTCGACGTACCTACGATGATCTCGTCGCTCTCGTCGCGCCTGCCCAAGAAGATACCTTCGCCCCACCTAGGTTCCAGCTTGGAGTAGTCCTTTGCCTGGATCGTGTAGTCGATCGTCTCTCCGATCTTCCCAAGCTCTGACTTGAACTTCGCACGTCCCAGCCGTTCCCAAGCTGTCCTGCCATCCGTTTTGATAGCGAACCTGGTGAGCAAGTACCCCACGTGCCTAACCAACCACGGCATGATCAAACTCTTGGGTCCGATCTTCACATCCAACTTCACTTCCAGCTCGCTGTGTAGTGCACGTAGTAACGACTCCACTCTTTCCACCGCATTCTCAATCGCACCGCTGCTCTGATGAGAACCTTTGGGAGCCTTCTCCACCTGCGTGCTGTGCTTCCTCCTGTTCTTTACCGCCGTGATCACCGCTTGTAGTGATGGCTCCTGGTCGCCCTTCAGGATGATATCCGCTGCTCCCCAAACGTCCAAGTAGAACTCCACCGCTGAGTTGACGTACTCGCTGGGCCCCTCGTGGATAACCATGATGGAAGCAACTGCATCGTCAGGCTTCTGCACCATCACCAGGACGGTGACCATCTCCGTCTCCTGCTCGGTGTTCACGAAGCAGTAGTCCATGCTAATGACTGGAATCGTCGGCGCCTCCTCTGGGTTGGACTTCTTGTGACCATCTTCCTTGCCTCGGCCCCAAAGACACCACTTGCACCAGTCCCGATGCGGCATGTGAGTCTTCTCGTGGATGGCTATCTCCTCCGCTGTGGGCTTGTACCTCTCCTTCTTGACCTTCGGCAGTCGCGCCTCGTCGGTCTCGATCTCTTCTCCTGCTCCCCCCGCTGCTGAGCTTGTTCAGGTTCATCACTCTCAAGGGGGCATAGCGTGCTCGCGTCCACGTCGAAGCTGTAGATTCCACGCCTCTTCGAGATCCTCAGGGGTCTGCTTCTCTGATTGTTCGCGTGTTCGCACTCGATTATTTCCTTGATCCGCTGGCTGATCTTCGGGTTGACTAATGCCCCACCGCCTTCGTCGAACCATGCCCCTTGAGCTCCCTTCGTCAGGTCGCTCACCGCAATGATCGTCTTGTGGACGTCTCGCACATCGAACTGTCCTCGAATTGGTTGTCGAGTCCCAGCCACCTTCATTTGTACCGTCTTGCAGCCGTTCGAGTAGATCTTAGTACCATCTGCCTGTCGTAGTGGTGGTGCGCCCGCTTCTTCTCGCGGTATTCTTGGTGCGAAACCAGGTGGGCAAACGCTCCGTGCCGCACATGAATCGACCATCGCCTCGATCGTACCGTCGTTGTCATTCCCGAACTCTATTGGAATCAGGTAGCTCTCGTCATTATCGTTGAACTTGTGTTTGGGCTCCTCCTTACTCTCTAGATTCACAGTGTATCCGTCTACCTCCGTGCGGTCTACACTCGAACTGTGATCTATCTCCTCAGTCTCGTTCTCCTTCAGCATGAATACGTAGGCCTCCTCGGCGTCGTTATCGTACCCTAAGTACTTCATGTCTTGATAGTTGGGCTTGTCGGGCGCAGGTGTGATCTTCGTCTTGTCGCTTTTGTCCTTACCCTTGCCCTTGCCCTTGCTGATCTTTCGCAAGTCATCCTTCGTAATCTGTCCGTCCTTCACGTCCTGCGCGGCCTTCCTGCACTCCATGAGCTCGTGACCTTTCTTGCCGCATCACTTGCAAGGCTGCATCGCGCTCTGGTCGTAGCCCTTGCCCGTGTTCTTGTCTTTGCCGTGCCTGCCCTTCGAGTCGTTGCCGAACTTGCCGAATGTGAGCGCATCCAGATCCATAGGCATAGGTCCACTTAGTGCCATCGCCGCCTGCTTCGACCTCAAGTAGTTCAACACCTCAGCTCGTACCAACGCGTATGTCGTGAACCTCGTAGCGTTCAGCATGAGATGTTCTCGCAGCTTTGTCGGCGCTAATCGCGCACTGAGAACGGACTTCTTGATCGACTCCATGACCTTCTCCCCTGTCTGCTCTTCATATCTCTGGACCAACGTCCCCCACGATGCGATGCCTTTGATCGGGTCGTTCTCCTGCACATGCGGATACAGTATCGAGTCTAACATGCCTGAGAATCTCGACGGCACCTTCGGCTCGAACTCCAGACACAGTAAACGCCAGGCCTCTAGGCCTTCTCCTGAGGGAACGCTCTTCACGATGCCCTGAGCCTTGTCCTTGCACGTCAGTACAAGGATATAGTACAGGTTGGTGTTGACTCGCTGGGCCTCTTCGTCCAGATCCTCGCGTGCGAAAGCCTCAGCGTCGACCTTCGCCGCATCCCTCATCAACTCCGCCATATGAGGATCCACCGCCATGCAGTAGGCCGCTAGGACGAAACGCCAGTTCTCCCACGTGACACCGTCCTTGCACTTCGCATTCTCGTCGAGCTCACCCGAGAACTTGTCTGGTTTTCCGAGCAACTTCGTGTCAACTAGTGACTCCGCTCTCGGTTGAAATGGTCTGTCGTCTGCTGGTCCTTCTGCTGCTGCTGCTCGTTGATGCGCCTCTCGCAGTTGCTGTTCCAACCTCGCTATCTGATCTCTCTGCTGGACTACGACGCCATCCATGGCCACGATCCTATTCAGGACCCCCTCTGCTTGTTGCCATCTTCTTCGCGGAATGGCGGAGCCCCTGGATTCCTTTTCCTGAGCCAAACGGTTTCGGTAACCATAATCTCAGCTCAACACCTGTGAAACCCTGCAATTTTTACGATGTTTCATTATTTTCACTATCTATCACTATGTTCCCACAATGTTTCCGTATTTTCACTATTTTGCACAATTGTTTTACTTTTTCTTTATTTTTCAAAATTCAGACATTGAAACAAGTCTGACCGGCGCCAGAACGTTGTGCTCCAAGGGAGCAGAAGGAGAAGGAGGAGGGAGGAGGAGGTGTTCACCTCCTCCTCCTCCTCCTCCTCCTCCTCCTCCTCTTCCTCGTCCCCCTCCTCCTCCTCCTCCTCCGCCTCCTCCTCCTCCTCCTCCTCCTCCTCCTCTGCCCCCTCCCCCCCTTCCTCCTCGGCGCCCCTCTTGGGGCCTCGGCGCCCCCGTGGCGCTGGCCCCCCTGGGCCTCGGCGCCCCCAAATCCGAAGCTCCGAAGCTCCTCCCATTCCTCTTCCTCCTCCTCCTCTTCCTCCCTTTCTCCTCCTCCTACCCCTCCTCCGTAGCCATTTTGGCTCAAGATGACGACCTGGGGGGCTGTCCAGCCTCCAGGCCGAAGGGGGGCCTCTGGACCGAGGACAGTTCCCAGACGGGCGTCGGGCGCGCGCGCGCGGCACCGCTGCAGCCACGGGGAGTGGCGGCGGCGGACGCGGGGCGGGCAGCGCCTGGTCGGGGGCACCGAATCGCCAGAGGGTTCCCCCGTGGAAGAGGAGCAGCAGTGGCAGTCGCCCTCCTCGCAGCAGCTACGTGGTGTGTGACGGGTGCAGCAGATGGCGCTACTGCAATAATATCACCAGCAGGGGCGACCTCTGCATCTGCGGCAAGAACCTCGCCTGCCTCGTCCCCGACGGTCATGTCTTCCGTGACGACGATGGTGGGTGGCTGGCAGCACAGCCCCAAGGAGGAACCTCGCCCAGGATCAGCTGGGCAGATGGTTGGCAGCCAGGTGGTGGTGCAGGCGGGAAAGGACAAGGAGGCCAACGCCAGCCACCACCTTGCGACAAGACTGTCGACCTCAAGGCTGCCACCGCAGCAGCTTACAGCAAGCTCAGCAAGGACGACCCGCTCAGGCAGCACTACGAGGCGCTCTGGCCAGAGCTCGCCGCAGCCAAGCCACCAGCAGACAAACCAGTCGTTGGATTCAAGGCAGCGGAGGCAGCTGCTCGACGCTTGGGCAAACTCCAGGAGAAAGTACGATCGGCAGGGGAGCAAGTTGAGAGTGCCCAGCAGTACTTGGCTGAGAGTGAACGCAAGCTTCGTGAAGCCATGGAAGCCTCCATTGCAGCCGAAGATGAGTTCGACAAGCTCAAGGCCACAGTCGGCAAGCAAGAGGCACCAGCTGAACCTGCAGCCGAGAAGCCAACTCTGGCAGCCCTCCTGGAGCAGTTCGAGCATGAGCCTGACGACTTCCACAAGTGGTCCGAGCCCGACAAGGAGGTCTGGCGAGCAGCAAAGGCCAAGGGCGAGCGCATGGCCCAGACGGTCAAGGAGCACGAGGAGGAGACGGCGAAGCACCTGCGACTACTGGAGGAAGAGACGGCCAGGCACCAGGAGCAGCTGCGCCAGCTCGAGCAGGCCCGCACCAAGCGCCTGTCAAAGAGCGGAGAGCAAGACCCAGAAGCAGCAGAAGCCCCACCAGGCAAGCGTGTCTGCGCCGCCAGCCCAGCCCCTCAGCGAGGTGCCACCACATGCACTGAGGCAGCAGGGACAGCTGCCGCGGCTGCGCCCACCGGCGCCGCAGCAGCTGCCCAACCAGAAGCAGGCGCAGCAGAACATGACAAAGCAGAAGAACGCCGAGCCAGAGTGGAGGCCCACATCCAGGAGGCGCGAGAGAAGGTCTCGCAGGCTAGTCGCGCCGAGACAGTCGTCGACGCAGAAGGGCAAGGTGACCACTCAGCAGGGTAGCCGCCCCAAGGCGAGCGCGAAGAAGGCTCGCCGCCCGTGCCACATCGACTTCTTCAACGTCACGACCTGGGGCCCCCAGGCACAGGGCTATCTCATGGAGATCAACAATACCAAGGACAGGGACATCATTGGCATCGCGGAGCACCACCTCCGCCAGCCTGCGCAGATAAGCAAGGCAAGAGCGGCGCTCAGGAGGAATGGCATGCACAGCTACTGGACCAAGGCACGGCCAGGAGAAGGAGAAGGCACTCGAGGAGGCACGTGTGCCATCACGCGAGGATCCTTGGACATCCAGGACAGGATCGCGTGTTTCGATGAGCGCTACCTGCACGAGGACGGCAGCGACGTCACGGTGGTGATCTCCAACCTGCACAAGGTCCGTTTCGCAGTGGCTTTCGTCTACCTTGAGTGTGGGACGGGCTTTGGAGAGAGGAACGTCGACATCCTCTGCGACCTGCGGGAGAAGATGGCCGTCTGGGGATGGCCCTGGGCAGCGCTTGGGGACTTCAACATGACGCCGTCGGAGCTCAACAACAGCATTTGGCCCAGGGTGCTGAATGCTCAAGTAGCTGCGGCGGAGGATGGCGCCCCCACATGTTTCCCAGCAGTAGGTGAAGCCATGTGCATCGACTTCGCGCTGATCTCGCAGGACCTGGCGCCGTATTTCGACCAGATGGAGCTGCTCAGGACCGTGCCGTGGAAGCCGCACATCGGCATCCGCTTGAAGTTGAGGGGGCGGCCTCTCATGCTCAAGGGCAGGGTACTTCGCAGGCCAGCAGCCATAAAGCCGCCAGTCACAGTCGAGAGAATGCCGAAGTCCAGAGCCGCTTGCAGACGAGCGGCGCGCGGAGGCCAGGAGGCCATGCGCCGACGTCAGCAAGCGTTGGCAGAGGCAGGATGCGACCTGGACGAGAACGACATGGAGCCAGTGCCGCAGCTGCACTACGACAAGGAGGTCCAGCACGTCATCCCTGACGAGCTGTGGCAGGCCACCTCCGAGCGGGTCAGCGCGCGCGCCTGCGACGAGTTGCCCCAGCACTTGCAGCACACAGTCGTCGGCAAGATGATGGAGCGGGACATGCTGGACCTGGGGCAACAGTACGACCGCTTCGCAAGCACCCTCGAGCTCAGCCTGCGCGAGAGCATCGGCATCCCAGAGGAAGAGCGTGGACGACATCTCGGGCACAGCAGGCCCCCGAGCTACAAGAGCGTGAGCATCAATGACACCGTCACCTCTACGCCAGGGGCAGGGGTCGAAAGGAAGATCCACGCGTGGCGGGCGGAGATCTCCTCCTTGGCGCGGCAGCTCTCGCACCATGATGCCCGAGCGCAGGAGGCAGCAGCAAGTCGACAGGGCAAGACCCAGGCACTTCCCGATGAGGACTCAGGAGGTGGACAGGGCCCGTCGGCGCCGGAGCTTGGCCCCGACATGTCTGGCAGCCAGGTAGGCCACGAAGACGGGGTTCCCGCACCAGCCATGAGCCCATCGAAGAGCTCGGGAGGAAGTTCGGGGGATCGCGCCCCCACCGAGCGGGGTGAGGGCCCCCCTGAGCTGCAGCAGCGGCGCGCAGGCAGTGGAGGCGCAGCAGGAGGCGGTGGCAGTAGCACTAAGGACATCGCGAATCAGCCAGCACTTGAGGAGGTCTCCCCTCCTCAGGCTGAGGCCCAGGAGGTCGCAGAGGGGCCGGCCCAAGAGAGCCCAGAGCGACCCTGCCTCAGCCCAGCATCGCCGCCAAAAAACGCGTCCTGGACCTCCGACACGGGCACAGCTTTCCAAGAGATGAGGGCGAGGCGGCCTGGCCCAGAGAAAGAGGTAGGCCCCTCCTCACTCTCCTCGGGGTACCCATCCCCCACACAGGCGAGCGCAGCGGACCATGGGAAGGCAGCTGGCCCCTGCTCTGAGATGGGTCAGGGGCTCCCGTCCCCCGAGTGCGCCGCCACGGGGCGCGTCCCAGACCTCGACGTGGGACCAACCCACAGCAGCGCAGACAGCTGCACAGAAGGGATGCAGAGGGGTGCCCTTCCCCCACCAGCAGGACGCAACACCATGGACACCCAAGATCACGACCCCTTCGAGGATGAGGAGGACTACTTGGAGTACCGCCAGGAGATCGCAGACCAGGAGAACAGCGATGGGTACCACCAGCACATCGAGGGGCAGCAGGACAGCCTCGAGTTCGGCCAGACCGTTCGCCGTCGTGCAGCTGGATCTGCCTTTCCCCCACCAGCAGGACGCAGGACCATGGACGTCCAAGACCACGACCCCTTCAAGGAGGAGGAGGACTGCTTGCAGTACCGCCAGGAGACCGCAGATCAGGAGGACTGCGACGGGCACCACCAGCTCATCGAGGGGCAGCAGGACAGCATCGACTACGGCCAGACCGTTCGTCGTCATGCAGCTGGATCTGGTAAAACTGCCCCAGGTGACACGCACTGCTCACCTCCTCAGCCAGCTGGCACTCTGGAGGCAGAGGGTACCGATCACCTGGGGAGTCAGAACCAAGCGCCGCCAGGCCCAGAGGCAGAGGAGCCACGAGATATGGGCCTGCCCCCACCAGACCTCTGGAATGATGACCAGCACCAGCGGGAGCGGGAAGACTACGTGGCCATGAGAGACGACCTGGAGTACTGGGCGGCCATCTGGATGGATAACTTGGTGCAGCTCCCCACGGACAACAGCAACTGGATGCAGATCTGTGTGCCGTTCCTGGAGACCATCTTGGGTGGCGGAGGCAACATGGCATGGTGAG